GTTTATTTACTCAGACTGCCGACAGACTCAAAGATGACATACAATATTTCAGTAATGAGATTAATGTAATTTATCTCCTCCTATATAAAGTAGGCATATATACATTTGTAAAATAATAAAAAAAATACAGGGTAGGGCTGCATTTTATGACAAAAATTAATCATTAATATTGTAATAATAATTATTGATGTTGATTAATATAATAGGAAAAAAATATTTTTGTATATGGCATACCATATTCTTGTAGGCTACACAGACAAAACAAGCTGAGAACCAAGACCATTCATCCTCATCCCTGAAACTGTCAATGACTTCGGTAACACTTTATTTTACGGTCCAATTCTCACTATTAACTAGTTGCTTATTAGCATGCATATTACTAAAATACTGGCTGTTTATTAGCACTTATAAAGCACATATTAATGCCTTATTCTCTTTGAACATGCTCTAGATCCCTTAAGCCGACTCGATCCCTAAACTTAACAACTTACTAACTATTAATAAGCAGCCAATTAGGAATTTATTGAGGGGAAAAGTCGTAGTTAATAGTGAATAAGTGTTCCCTATTCTAAAGTGTTACCAAATATAGTAGTGAACATGAGCTCAACATGGCTGCCACAATGAATCCTCCTTCATGTAGAATAAAACAAAGTTTTGCCGAAGCCACTCATATGACTTTTTTTTAATCTCCTGTGAGTGTAAGTCATTTGAATTAGATTTGTCAAAAGCATTATTTAGCTCTGTTGGTCTAAAACTTTTGTAAATGGAAAACACTACTAAGTGCACTGTTAAAAAAAATAGAGAGCAAGAGACCATCTGCTGTGACAGTTTTGTGAACAACAACAACATCCTCCCATTGTTTCTAAAAGCTGCTTCAGAAAACGGACTCTTCCTGTGAAAAACAGCTGATCACATTTAAGGAGAGCAGAAATAGACTCTAAAGGCCAGTAGCAGACGCTGGCAGTTTCATTATTTAGTGGTGCTTTCTTGGGCAAGCATCACTGTTATTACTGCTCATATTCAAACATGAAGTTATGAGTATGAAAGTGTGTGTAAATCACAGGCACTCTGTGTGCTACAAGCATGAATAATATCTCAAATTATGCAGCTTGTTGAGAAATGTGTTATTATTTTCCTAAAAGGTCAGACTTACGATTCTGAAATGAAGAGAGTGTCAAGAAAATGACAGATGTGTGTCTACACTCTCAAGAGCACGTTGAATGAGGTTGGCCTACAATATATTATCCATATTAGATCAAATCATACACCTATCAATTGCTTTGCTACTTTGTAAAGATTTCTATGTGTCCGTATTAAACACGACAGAACAATATGTGATAAAAGGAGTTATATGATCGAACTTATCTCTGTGAATAATGAACAGAGTGTTCTGTTGTTTATCTAGCACTTGCTCAGCTGTGTGTGTGTCTGTATTCTGGGGTCTCTGGCCTCGTCAAGCAGAAGGTTCGCATTAGAGTTTCGATTATCAACTTGATCCTGTCAAAGTCAGGGTAGCTCTGCCGTAGCAGTACACGACCGTATGTTTCTTGCTCTTCATAGATCATCTGAAGTGACAAGTGATGCAAGAGAGAAAGTTTGGGAAAACTTTATTTTAAGGATCAATTCTCACTATTAGCATGCATATTACTAGCATATTGGCTGTGTATTAGTACTTATAAAGCACATATTAATGCCTTATTCTGTATGACCATATTTTAGATCCCTTAAAGGGGTCATGACCCAACACCTAAACTTAACAACTACCTTACTAACTAATAGGCAGCAAAATAGGAGTTTACTGAGGCAAAAGTCATAGTTAATAGTTAGTTAACAGTGATAACTGGTCCCTAAACTAAAGTGTGACCAACGTTTGATATTTGTACATGAGCGTGTGGAATCAAAAAAGACCAGGCAGGGAAAAGTTTTAATTCTCTCCTGATTTTCAGTCATTTCTGCCATTTTTGTAACTTATGCAATATGTAACCACTGAATTTATGTCCCTGTCCCTTCAAACACACACACACCCTTGTTCACGACGGGGGAAGTCGTGGCCTAATGGTTAAAGAGTCGGACTCGTAACCCAAAGGTTGCGGGTTCGAGTCTCGTACCGGCAGGGATTGTAGGTGGGGGGAGTGAATGTACAGCGCTCTCTCCTTCAATACCACGACTGAGGTGCCCTTGAGCAAGGCACCGAACCCCCAACTGCTCCCCGGGCGCCGCAGCATAAATGGCTGCCCACTGCTCCAGGTGTGTGTTCACGGTGTGTGTGTGTGTTCACTGCTGTGTGTGTGCACTTTGGATGGGTTAAATGCAGAGCACTAATTCCAAGTATGGGTCACCATACTTGGCCACATGTCACGTCACTGTCACGTCACGTCACTCACAACCTAGTATGCGAAATGTAAATTGACTAATTCAAACTCATTTGAAAGGCTGTCATAAGTTTCCTATACAACCGATTAGACTTTCTTCACACTGGCTACACTTTCCATAAAAGACCTATATTTGTAATAGTTTATCATTTCTGTTCCGCTAAACATTCAGACAACTTCCTGTGGAGACTAATCAACCCTTCACTGAACTCCACTGTCTCCTCTGTATTTGTCTTCTTCTCAAGCTTGCTTCCTAATCTAGGCATCTAGGCTTTGTCCCTCTTTTGTATAAAAGGCCATGGTTTTGGATAAAAGTGTCCGCTAAATGCATAAAAGTAAATGTTCTGTCACAAGAACAGATAAAAACAGATCTATCTGGATCCACCAAAATCAAAGTCAGATTTTATACGCATGCATGAATTGCGTAACATTTTTATATTTTCTATATTGATTTAAACACACGGACATAAAGGCACTAACTTTGTTTGTGACGTGCTAATTGGCTTAACATTTTCAGACAGAGCTCTGTCTGCCCGTTCAGTATGTTCAGTATTATCCACATACCGACAAATAATGTGATTTAGAGGAAGAGAAAGTCTCTAGAACATGCTGCCGTGAACACTGCAGGCTCTATTCGCCGGTAAACAACTACTAAAGGATGAACAAAGAACTTTAGTCATGGAAGTGAGTCAAACCATGTCCCACTATTTAACTATATTAGATTAAAGATGAGAATGTATTAGATCACATTTAATGGTGTTACAGTGCAAAGCTGGAATGGAACCATAACAGAAGGCTGAATCACATTCAGTTTTTATATCTTTATGAATATGATCACATGGAGAGAGGCAACATGGGCATCTACTAAATCCTCAGCATTGCATCAGTAATCTACCATTTCAGACTGAACTTGGTCAATCAGAAGTAATTGTATATACATTTTGGTATTCTGAATTCTTTACACAAATGTATATTTCGCTTGAGGATGGGCGAACGGTGGAGGGGCGACCCAGACAGGGGAATGGCCCATAAATAGAATCATGAGACCTGAAGCATGTGAGTCTTTTAGCGTTTCGGAGGCAAGTTCAATTTTCAAGCTAGAACTGTTTTGGGGCAACAACAATATAATGTATTGTTAATAGTAGTTTTGTCTGCAAAGATCAGTAGATCGGGATGATCTGATTAATGGAAAGGTCACGAAATTTTGTGCTTTTCTTCCTTTGATTATACTGAATTTATGTATTTGTTTGTTTATTTATTGCCTTCTAAGAAATACATGTAGAGACATACTGAAAGACATAATTTGAGCATGCATGTTACAAAAGTTTTTTTTTTTGTTCTTTTTCAACACTGTATCATTTTTAACTTACATAATTTTTGCAATCCTGTTACCAAAATTTAGGGCACGTTTAAATGCGATTTAAAAACCTGATCTCTGTGACATTATGATTATTATTATTATTTTACAATAAACATTAAATAAACACCAGCATAAAAATGAAATCAAGTCAATGGTTCTAATAAAACAGAAATACTTAAGTAACATGTAAAAGGGTTACAAATTTAACCCTTCGCTGTTAGTTTGGTGTTTTTTCTGTAGTTATTGATCTACATTCCCCATAAACACAACAACTTTCTTTATTGGGTTAAATGGCTGAGCTTGCTGTACTCACTGAACACAACAGGTAGGCTAGGTTGTGTACAAAAACTGAATACATCTTAGTTTATAAGATTTTATAGTTCTCTCCCCCCAAAGATCAAGCACTTGAGCTTCATAAATAAACAAGCAAACACTAATCTGTGTCTTATTAGTGAAGCAATGTTAGGCACATATGCACTATAATGAGCAGACACAAATATACATCTTGACTTTGTTGAATATAAAGCCAAGTATCAATTTAAGCTTTGTTATTCTGCAGAGATGAGAAAAAGATACTGTTACCTGAACAGGCCAGAACAAAAAAGACAGACATAAAATCCCGTGTCACAACATATTTGAACACAGTTATAACAGTGACAGTGAAGCTTTATCAATATTAAAGCTATAACGCTTTAATTATCATCAAAGTCAACACAGCGCTCTCTATTCGGATTCTGTTCGGAAGTCATGAAACTTTGTCTTACCCTTATTGTGACGTTTGCTACTTTTTTCTTTTCTTTTCTTTGCGTTAGGCTATAATAATCCGGATAAACGCTGCTTTATATTCAGCCGTCACACGAGCATCGTTACCGTTCATTGCGTTAGTATATTATGAACGGATTATGAACGGTGTGTGGCGGGATCTGCTGAGATAATGCGTTGAACTGTGTCGCTCGCGCTCTTCTGCTGGCATGGCTTTGAATGGGTGGTTCTGGTTTATTCCCACCCACGAAACTACGTAGTAGACTTCCAGCTCTACATTAAGTCTATCTAAATATTCAGTGTCCCAGACTGGAAGTCCCCAAGAAACCCAATTCTTATTCATGCAAATTCTCACATACCCATCAGATAGATGGAGCCCAGTCAAACACAGCAGGATGATTAGGTATTTTTGATGGTTTATTGATTAGGTAGAAAATGACAAACATAAATACAGTCGAACTTTTGACTGGTATGTTCAGCCATATCGCATTCATATAGGTTTAATCTGCCATATTCATATTAGATCAAACTATTAGTTCATATAGCTATAGGGTAAAAGTTGGGTCTTTATTTGTCTGTTTCTAAACGGTTTAAAGTGGTTGAAAATGTAAATGTGTGTATGCTTTCCAGCTAGATTCATTAGGCGGTCCATTTGTACGACAGGTGGCGCGAATTTCTGGATCCCGTTCGGATGTGACCCAGAGAGTAAGAAAACGACTTCCGGTCCGCTGGCCGTTGCGTTGCTGCTGTAACTGACTCAGGATCAGCTTCGCTCGCTCACACTCTCTGCATTACAGTGAGGATCGTTCAGCCAGCACTGATCCAGCGACAGATTCACAGCAAACAGCCGGTTCACCTTGACGCGAGTATGGCGTCGGCTACGAAACTGATCCAGAGACTGAGGAACTTGTTGTCAGGGGTGAGAGGATGAGGATGAGGATGACCGTTTAACCTATCGATGTAATATGACACGGTTAGAAAATAACGTTCAAGTCTCCGTGTGTATGCATATGTTTGCTTGTTTGTCTTTGCGTTAGTAACCGTTTAACGTATCGATGTAATATGACACGGTTAGAAAATAACGTTAAGTCTCCGTGTGTATGCATATGTTTGCTTGTTTGTCTTTGCGTTAGTAATCAGCAGTTAAGTGATATTTTGTTCACTATATATACCTAAATTCAGTTTTCTCTCGTTCCCTAACAGCACGAACTCCAGTCCAAACTACAACTTCGATACACTGAAATTTCAAAGAGGTAGATATACTTGCCTAGAACATATTTCATATTAATACGTGAAATTAGAGAGAGAGAGCAAGCGCAAATCCTGGCAGCGGCAGGTCGCAGCGCCACTTCCGGTGGCCTCGGGTCGGGTGCCACGGGTTTCCTCCGGCAGCTGCCACCGTCTTTCTCGCCGTTTCTGCTGTTTGCTCGGTAAAAACTACA